GTGACATGTAAAGGAATATGAATAAGCTAAAACGTTGAATTTAAATTGTAATGTCATCGCAGTACTGTCTAATTTTGCTTACTTCGCTGTCAGTCGAACAAACGAAGACTAAAGCGTGAATGTGACGCTCTGTGTACGATTTTAACGCCCTATAAGTTCGGACACTTTTTAGCGCGGACCCGACGTCCATATAATTGTAAGTCAATGATAGTAAAGGTATTATTTTGCGTTAACAAAGAACGGATCGGCTGAATAACTCCGCCTTTTAATTTAATTTTATTCAACAAAATAAATTAGGCATAACTTGACTGAAATTGTCATAAACTAAAAAGGGTCAGCCTCAATTAGGTATATTTTTTTTATATTTATTGAAAATTAAAAAATACTTATTGCAAAACGAATATATTTATATGTATATGGCTCCTATAGCGCAGATATAAGATTTTATAGGTTTTTTTCTAGATGTGAAACTGTTGCTATTTATATGTACATTTCAAAATTGATGTTATCAAATGATGATTATGTCCAGTCTGACGGACGCATTAAACGGCAAAATTTATTTTAGAAAATTGTATTGACGATTAAAAGCGGAAAGGACCTCACTGGAAGTTCGAAACGTGAATAATATATAAACTAAAAGATGTTTATAGATAACAATAAGTTTTTTTATAAAAAAAAAACCTCAAAAGTTTGATTAGCGTTCTGTTATACCCTGATTTTCTTCCCTTAAATATGATTACTAAGCATTTATATTTTAATAAAACTGAATGCAGCCGCGTGGCCGTTCAGTTAGCTGATTTACCACCACTCGCGCAACACGCGTTGACCAGGAGCAGAGACTTTAGTGCCGTAATCCCGTGGGTCACATTTTTGTAAAAGTTTAAACTTAGTAAAATTGTGAAAGTACCCAATAAACATCTAGGGAAAGGTTTTGAGAGTTTTTTTAAAAGACTGGTGCCCACCGCCGCCTAACAGTTCGCTGTGCCCGTTACCCGCACTCTCCTCGTCAAAACGAATCGTATGAGCCCAAACACAGCGTAGCTGCTGTACACTGTTAGGAAGTTCATCTCACCTTCTGCCATTTACATCATCAGTTCACGACAACATTTTATCTTCATTCGAATTACACCTACGTGTCAGGTTTTATTGAAATCGGTTCACGGAAGGATGAAATTCAATAAACCGGATTGATCCCTTAATTTGCCAGAGGTAGTTTATTTTTGTACAATTTGAATAGGATCACTACTGAGGTACCGCCTTTACAACACCCGAACATTTGTGAACCCGGTTCACAAATGTTCCGACATTACTATTTGCGTAACATGCACACAAAAAATACAATTGAGAACCTCTTTTCCTTTTTTGACGTCGGATAAAAATGTTTTAGTCAGATATAATTAATAGCAATCAATGAAGCACAAAACATTGAAATAATAAATATAAACCGACCGGTTGACTACAACTTGGCGTGAATTGAATTTTATCCATTTATTTTTGAATCATTATACAACAACCAACCTAATGGAAAAAGCATGAAATAGCATTAAATAAAGAATCGGGAACCGTCAACCGGAATCAAATGTATTTCCTAAAATGTCTAAATACCAGGAGTATTTACAAAATATTAATATTATAAAGAAATACGTTTGATCCAATCCATTTGATGTACTGAAAATGTATTGACATTGTACTTGGCAATGCATCGACGCAACATGACGCTGATGAATCACGTTTAGTTGATGCGGAATGCATTTCGGTCTGGCTGTCTCAAGCGTCATAACTCATATTAGGAAATACTACTTAGATGTTTTACGTATAAAATATTTACAACATAAAGACTCCACAAGCGACAGTCAATCTGATTCCCAAATATTGGGAATTTCGCACACATCATGAAATTGCAGCTGTGTGAAGGTTTCCTCACAATGTTATCTTTACCTTAACTGCCTCCGTTACCATGCCGGACTGCTGCATGTTGTCTATGTGTGTCCATGGCACCCGCGACACCAAGTGCGGAGTTATGTTGAGTGTGTGCGTTATTATGATTATTTACCGAAAAGCTTATGGTAAATTTCAAATTCAATTTCGCACCTACATTCTGGAAAACTCAAAGATTTAAAGCCACAACCCTGTTCTTGAGAGGCTACCACGGCTGTTAAAACATATTTAATGTATGTACCTACCTACTTTTATCTTTTCGATAGAGAGAACATATGTCCTTAGAGCATTCAGATTATGAATCTATACCACCGCAGTCCGATTTAAGATTTTTTGTCGTACTAATACGGTTCATTTTGCTTGTGTCGAGCGGAGGGACACTGGCTTGATTTCAGAATTTATTTTCCTACAAGCGGAATTAAAGACAAAAATGTATATTGTATACTATACGTGTTCTTTAGTTCAGTTGATATAAAAAAAAACATTGGTATATCAAATTGAATAAAGCGGTTTTCTTGTCAAATTTTGAGGTAACTTCGTGTTTTGTTTTTGTATCGTAAACATTTTTAGGAATACTCTTTTCACATCATATACTAATCAGTGTTTGTCCTTAATTTTACAATATATTTTTTCCAAACTGATTGATTCAACAGTTTCACCATTTGAGGTTGTATAGATTCGAAGTAGAACAAATCTACAAAACTCAAATAGCTCACAAGTCACTATTTTATCTGTCAGTGTTTTTTTATTTAGTCAATAAACATGCTTTGCGGCCCAACAGGCTCGAACTCTGTCATTACTACAAACAATAACCATACATTGCACTTTCTGTCCATTGGTCTACCATTACCAAGCTCCTGTCTTCGCCGCCGCTAACACGTATCTTCTTTCACTTTTACTCTGGTAAAGTTTTAAATGTTTTAGAAAAGGACGAAGTTACAATATTACGCACCCTATCGAGCGCGGATAAATCGACATCTTCAGGGGTGATGATAATGCTTGAGTTCGACATGTCATGTTTTATGTATATCTATCTAGTCGAGTACGTTGTGTGTCCGCGCCTTTAAAATGTCGGAACAGTTCATTTTTCAACGGACCACCGGCAATGTATTTAACTTGCGTATAAAAGATTTCAACGTCGTCTTGCTACGTCCATACCTTGAAATATTATTAATAACTTGCGTATAAAAGATTTCAACGTCATCTTGTAACGTCTATACTTTGATATATTATTAATAGAAAAATGCTGAATTGCTGAAAAAATCTCGTACCATTTTTGTTCGTAAGAACGAGTAGATACAAAGTATCAAGCTCACCTAAGATCTTCTTCGGTACAGTATGTTAATGACAACGGAATGAACTTATACGTAAACTTATACGTACTCATAAGATCGCGCTACGATATACAATCATTTAATAAGCAATTTGCAATAAACATTGGCGCTCAGATGGCCGGCTAGTTAGATACAGTATATTGTTACCTCGCGTCATAAACTAAAATTAAATATAAAGACGAAATAACCTCATTTGCGACACAGTCCTTTACAGCCTCGAAGCTACGACATTGCTTTCCCATAAACTATAGTCATATGTGTTTTATTATACATTATCTAATATATAGTAAAATTATATAATATCTATTGAAGACATTCCCGCTGTTTAACCGAGACGATGCGGACTCGGTCATCTGCGCCCACGCATCTATCATTCTCGCATTAACATAAAAACTGCACCGACTCCCGCGCACTGTTTTATCTGCTAACTGACGGTTGAGTGCCAAGTTAACAAGTCCGCAATTTGGCAATCATAGCAAATTGCCTAAGTATACGTGTCATTGTTATAGGAAAGTAAATTATAATCACTGACATTAAATATATGCGCTGGGCGAATGTTGGGGAATTCAAACAAATATTTTATTTGGAAGACGAGAGATAAGTTATTGCGGTGAATGCGTTTCATATATCATTCATAGTTGTCTCTTACGACCGTATCTTATTGGGATCACTTTCCTTACGCATGGTTGCCCTCACGTCGTGGGCCCCGTCAAAGCCAAAGCCGAAGCCGAAGCCGCGCTGAGAAACGAATTACGGACACTTAAATTTAATTCGCTTTTCATGTTTGGTTACGTAATTCGTTGCATGGTTGCTCACCACGAGGCGCTGGACTTGACTTCCGTTTCCTGTCTAATCTCGGTTATTAGAATTATATGTTGCAATACCTATGTATTGTAAAATAACTAAAAATGTATAAAGTTCTTGTTTATATATCTAGGTGCATACTTATATCAATCTCGATTCCCACACACTGAATTACATTATAGGTGGCGAGAAAAGGGCGAAGACGCTACGCGCTCTGCGCATTACTAAATGTGTTTGAGCGAGAGTTTCGCACTCTTCGTAGGTTTACCATAATTTCTATCACGATCAAACCGTCAGGAAATGTAGGTATACACTTTTTCTTTTAGCATGATAGCTAGATAAATTTATTTCATTATAACTTAATCTAATAGGTACAAGTAAAACAAATGTAAAGGGAAGCCAAAACAAACAGTGAAAAAGTTGTAAATACATCCATCGGGAACAATACGTTATATGCATTTGAGACAAAGAGCTTAAAGCCTTTATTACACAACTCAATGATGACTGGTATATGTGTAATGCAAATGGCAAATCTAACCATTTTACCACTCCCCATAGTCGCTACTTTTTGCAAAGGTTAAGCATTTCCGAGCCAGTTTCAAATGTATAGTCCCTATAACTGGCACTGGGTCAGTGTCCGTCCGTCGGCTCGCCGCTGGCCATGACTTCTCACCGTGTGCTATAGGATGCGGCTATGTGATAGCCTCTATATAGTAAGTGTCCGTTTTCCATACCTGCGCCGGCGGGCGCCGCCGTTCAACCGTATCCGACGCTTTTTGCAAAAAAGGCAACAAGGATCAAAGGTATTTTAAAGCTTTAGTGACTTTTTATTCTTGATTGGTAAGGGTATAGGTAGGTAGGTTGAAGATCAAAACACGTATATATAATGTATAATATATTGCTAAGTTATGTATGTTTTTGCAGCATGGTGCGCGAATACGGCGGTAGCGCAGCCCTAATGGCGGCGGAGGCACGCGAGGGTACATGGGGTGCTGCGTCACGGCACAATCACCTCGCCATCGAGTGGCCTGGGGACAACACTGCGCTTAGAGCCGGCGACAGGTACGTAATTTCGTTTTCAGATACCATGAATTTCGGTTTGTCAGTTAAACAAAAACATAACATTCGACAACGAAAACCTTGGTTCAAAGACAAACTTTTAAGCGTTACGAAACACAATAGCAAAACACGGTAGCCCTTCAATCTTCGCCGTACATATTCGCGGGTAGCAATCTACGACATAACTACTATACTTTCATAGTGCACGGGTATTATCTACTTAGAGCTTGCCAAACGACAGCGTTGCGCGGGGTCAGAGCCCCGCAATCTGCCCCCGAGATCAGCGGACCCTTTACGGTATTTCGCCAGTCGACCACGGATCGTGAGCGGTTATGTTTACAATCCTTAAGAAGAAAACCTCAACCGTAATTTTGATCGTTTCGATACAATCCTCTTATAAACTTATTGAAACCTTAACGCTGAGAACTTTCCCACGTCTGACTAATTTGCAATGTAAAAGAGAAATATTTCACGGAGTTTATCAGACCGATTAAGCAAGTAAATAATGCAAGAGTGAGGAACTATGCGAGAGGAAGCACTAGCGGCCGCTCCGCCGCCGCGCGCCTATTTGTCCACGTCCATTAGACGAATGCGTCCTGAGACGGTAAAATGTTGTATTACGAGTACGATGAATACATTACCGTCGGCTTCACTGACGCGTTCATGTTCTCTTACAATTCAATTCGTTAGCTCCTACTAATATAACCAGCTTACAGTAAAAGTAATCAAATATAAATTATAACAACATATCTTGCTACATTAATTTTAATTTCTTGACGGCTGCCTTCATATTTGTAAATCAGCCGGTATCGGCGCCGGGCGAAGCGGATTTTTCTCAGTAATTACGCTTCGCTGACAGTGTCGTGCATTATCGGGGACGGCCGATTAATTCTCCCGCTTTGTCTGCACCGCCGCGCCGCCGCCTGTGCGAACACCGCTGGGCAGTCACCTGTGATCAACATTGAGTTATAACCAACAGAGTCATATGACCAGGACAATAATGACGGAAGCTACTAGTGTTATTGTCTGCACCATACTAACAGCGGAGATTTGCAATCGAATCAAATTGTGTGGTGTTGAAATTACTTTAGTTCTCCTAACCGCTAGAGGCGCTGAACACTTTGCGATACAAATATCAAACAATATTACTAGTATATTCACCACCACCATCATCATCATATACAGTCTAAAATAACCCATTGCTGGGTATAAGCCTCCAAGTTTTTAAGCCACTCCCGACGGTCCTGCGCTAGTTTCATTCAGGTTCTCGAATTCAACGCTCACTATTATAGAAATAGTGTCTTTTAAGATCATATAAAAATACTAAAAACCGAGGTCTGTTGTAGGTTAGTGGAAGTGAACGGCGTATCAATGCTGTCGTGTCGAAGCCAGGAGGAGCTGCAGCAAGCCATCAGCACCGCTAACCCTGCCAAGCTGGTGCTTATCCGCGGACAGCAGACGCATTCTGCCGGTCCCGTTCAGCCTAAATTTTCACAGGTCAGTTGCAAGAAGACATTATCTATTTAAATATACAAAAATCGCAATGTCCCCCGACAAACTGAATATCAAGTACAACATCGAATATTCAATTTTTGCAGAACGAAGTGTCGTCTTTACGGTCAGAGTTGGGCTCTCTGAAAACGGCTGCGGAGGAAGCCGAGAAGGCGAAAGAGGACCTCCGCACGGACAATACGCGCCTCACACATCGTATCTCGTATTTGGAGGAGCAGGTCGCCGAGCTGCTCGCTAGACATACACAGGTTGTTTAAATACATTTAGAAAAAATAACACTATTTGCATGTTTTTGTATTTAAACGTTCATGTCTAATAATTGCAATTTATTTTTCTACAGCTGCATTCAGTGAGCAGCAACGACAGCAGCTGCATCACGGTTAACAAATCGAAGAAGAACGTAACAAACATCAACATCACCACAGAACCGCACTCGAACAAACCCAGCCCCAAGTCTGAAGTGCAAGTGTTCCAAAAAGGTCCCGATGTTACTGCTATCGTGGCAAAGCTGCCGGGGCTAGACGGCATGGAGTCCAACTTGCCAGTGATGAGGCCGCGGTCCAACGCGTCCGGCGCGTCTTCTAGGGCGGCAGTGTCGCCGCGAGCGTCCCCCGCTCCCAACCACACTCACCGGTCCCACAGCTCGCACAGCACGGAGCACCGGCCGGGGCGCATGCGCCACGCGCTCTCGCACCATTGCATTCACGGCGGCGCGGTGGACTACAACGCCGAGACCGACGCAGCCATCCGCATGATAGAGCGAAACCAAAGACACATGGAGAAGCAACGTCTCAAAAACGAACGACTGAGCAGATCCAAGGGAGAGGACTTTTTCAGATCGGACAGCGACGTGGACATCAGAGAATCCAGCGTATGCGAGTCCCGCCATTACGAGATAAAGAAAGCGGCCGACAGAATAGAGGAGAGCATCAAGAAAACAAATTGGGCCGAGAGGAAGACGCTCTCTATCATCGAGCAGTTGAAGCGCTCGCAACGTTTGAGAAAATTAAAAAAGAACGAAAGCGCCGAGGACATCCAGATAGAGTCGGACAAACAGTATTTGTATAACAGAATCGACGGTAAGGTATTAGAAAACGCGTTGAAATCCAGCCGACGATCGTCAAAGCTGCACTCGCGAAGCGCCAAATCCTCAGAGTTTGAATCCGAATGTTCGGACTTTCCAAACGGTGACATGTACAGTAGCTCTCCAAGGATAGACTACGGGTCTGAGACGCCGCACGGTTATTATAAGAAACACGAGGAGAGAAAGGATGGAGACGGGAAGTCCAGGCCGACGCCTCCGCGCAAGCCGTTGCGTTTGTCGCTGCACAAAGCTCGGAGTGCACATTCTTTGATGAACGGTAGCGAGTCAGAGACTCCGAGCCGTCCGCCGTCTGAGGCCACGCACACCGGGGAATACGACTCGCCGACTAAGAGGCCGGTGAAAAGAACACACGCGGCGGACAAATGGGCGCGGGAGAGGATCAGAGATACCGGCCGAGGGACGCCGAGACCCGCTAGGAAACTCTTAAACGGTTTAAGCACTTGCGACACTCCCGCCGCTGACGACCTGTATCCGGACAACCATCACATGCCCGTGAGAAACGGCAAGTGTACGCCAAGCAAATGGTGCTAATGCTGAAACTTCGTTGTTTCTCTAATAGCAATTATAGAATATGAGGCTAATATTGAAATGAATCAAATTATTAGACATAATCCAGTGAATATGAAACTCATTTGTAAATACTGCTAGACACTGTAAAAAATATGATACGTAGAGCACCCACCGCGTAAATACTCACCACAATATTATACACGTAAGTTAAGACGTCTAACTAATTTACTAAGACAACGCTATTGCATATGTACAATAAGTATCTAAGAGTAGAATATTGTATGAATCGTAATTTGAAATAAAACGAGGGGTTTATAAAATTTGTAATGTTTTATTGAGACGCCCGTAATATGCGCATACTTATCACAATAATGTCGTTACGACATATCATGAAACTCGTCTGACGGTAATAAAGCGCTCGTAATATAAAATCCACTAAAACAACAACTGCACAATAAAATCGCTTTAATTACATGCAACAGAAAACAAATGACAGTATATAATATTTACATCAATTGTTACCGTATAAATACCATTAACTTTCCTAAACAGTAGCGCACAACTGCGAATTAGAAGTGACGAACAGTTCAACAAACAGTTCAGTTAGCTGTTCAACAGTTCTTAAACAGATAACGACCAACCCGCAGTTGTGCGGTGATTTCTAACTACTAAGTAACCATACTCTATACACTAAGTGAAATGCTGTTAGAAGGGTAAAGGGTTGTTTTCAAGCAAATTCTCTTAAGAAAACTGACAAGTATACCCTTCTCTTTGTTCGTACGACTTGCTAAGTAAAAGTACCACAGTATGGTTACATAGGATCGACATAACAACTAAACTATGCGACTGCATACACGTGCCGTAATAATGATAATTAGCATTATATTATTTTACACTCCACGACTCGATTCCGCTGCGACGATCACAACGGTCATTCTCGGATTTGTGGTCACTACCTAATTTCTGTGGCAATTTTTTTTGTTTAAGTATTCGATTTTTTTATCGTGCAATATTATTTAATATTCGAGTATTGTATCGTGAACAGTTATTTAATAATTACACAATGATATTAAATAATAAAAATTGCCGTAACGGAAATTAGGTATAGTGACCACTAGTCCGACAATGAGCGCCAAATGTCAACGGAACGAACACACCATAAGACAGCTTAATTTGACAAGTTAGCACAGACTATTTAATACGATAAAGAATACCGACGAAGTTGCAGTATATACGGATGAAAACAGTTTAAAAAAAATAATTAAAATGAAAAATACTTATTTAAAACTGTTAATACTCGCTACTAACTTGCCAAAATATGTTTTTAAACATTCGTAGAGTGCAAGAGAGATAAGGAAAGACTAATTGCCCTCATATTCAAAATATTTACAAATACATATCTTAATAATAAATTCAGTAATGTCTTCAATATTGCATGAATATGGCCTTTATTCTGTTACGCGTTAAACCAAATTTAACAATCTATGTTTTCAAAAAAGCGAACGAAAAAATGACAACTTTAGACAACATTTTGACAACTTTAGACAACATTTTAGTGCGTTTTGAGTGCAACGCGCAACAGATCCGAGACAAATAAATTATAATGTCAATTACGAAGTTTCACTAATGTAACGGTAACTGGCGAATGATAGGATCACTCTTGGCTATCAAAATGAAACTAAATTTTGCAAGGTTAAAGCCGTGCAGCTGCTCCCCGTGTATTGGTCGAGTTAACGATTACAACCACGTCGGGTCGACAATCAACCTCACCCCGCGAAGTAAACACGAATAAAATATAAAAAAACAATTTTGTAACATAAGAATTATTTATATATACCCGTCCAGACATAAAATCACTGTCACACCCATCACACGTTTTGGCAAATCACTAGTCGCTTTTTTGCCTTTGCAACTTCACGCACTTATTTAAAATCTAATCCTGCGTAGACATTCCACCTTTGTAACGGTTCAGAAACCGCCTAAGTACTCGAGACTTCTGAAGTCTAGGCGTAATTTTACACAATCTTCGACAAATTTCTACAGTTAAACCATGGCACCGACAACATCGCACAACGGGACTTATCATTGCATTCTTTGATAAAATTAATTTCAACTTCCAACAATTCACGGACGCCCGGTCCTCTCGGACTGACTTTGCGTCGTTTCGATAGCTCGAAACGAGGAACAATCGTACATCCTCGACGACGACAACTTTAGCGAGAGGTCTACCAGCCACCGATTTGTAACTCCCGTCGCTTAGAACTCGAAACACCTTCCGAGATTGACGTACTTCTTAAGTTGTTGCGGCAACGGCAGCTCCTTGACGCCGCGCTTCATGAGGATGGAGAGGCGCACGCGGCGGGCGGAGTCGGAGGGCGCGGTGCTGCGCCGGTGCCGCTTCGAGTCGCCGTCGCCGTCGTCGTCGGCCGAGTCGTCGTCCGTCGACGACGACGAGTGGTGGCTCACCTGGCCGTGGCCGCGCTTCTGCCGGCGGCGACGACCTGCCGGGGAACGGGTCGCAGGGTTTGGAAATGTTTAATAACAATACTAGTAGCCGTAAAGGTATCTCGCCCAGTGAGAAAAATTTTCATAGATTTCTCACAGCCGGTGCGGCACCGCGATAAAAGATTCGGTAAAAACCAAAAACAAATATCTGCAACAAACACATGGAAAAATTCTTGAGGACGGACTCACGAATTTTCGTGGAAGGTTCGCTCCGTCGCTTAGTCGGCATAGCGTCTGGCGCGGTCTGCTGGAAGACGTCGGTTCGAATCCAACCGGATCGAAGTGAACATTTTCAACCCGCATTGGACCGGATCGACATACGTCCTTGCCGGTAGAGAAATAGAGAAGCAAAATAGTCCGGCAGCGCTCACCCCGGTGGTGGTCGTCGTCCGTGAGGCTGCTGGAGGCGCGCGAGCCGCAGTCCGAGTCGTCGCTGTTGCCGCTCTTGCCGGGCGAGCTGCTCGACGACGGCGTGTTCTCCTCGCCCAGGCCACTGTCGAACTTCTGCCGCTTCTCGTCGCGGGCCTTGGACGTGGACTCGGTGGTGGTCGTCTCCTCCTCGCTCAGGGACTTCTTCCGGTCGAAGTCGAGGAACGGGGACGCGGTCTCCGGCTCGCCGAGGTACAGCTCGAGCTGGCCCATGGTCGTCCTCTTGCAGCGGGAGTCCCGCGGCGCGGCGTCGGCGCGCTCCCGCCGCGGGGGCAGGGAGCGGCTGCGGCGCGAGCGCGGGGGCGGGGTCGGGGGCGGGGGCGAAGCGCGCGAGCCGGACGCCGGAGGGGGGGCGTCGCCGCGCAAGGGCGCGGGGGCGGGCGCGGCGTCGCGGCGCGTCCTCGGCCTTTGGTTGCTGAACTCGAACAGAATGATGTCCCGGGCCGCCCGCCGGCGCGCCGCCTCCTCCCCGTCGCTGTCGGAGTTCCGCTCCCTGCTGCGGTTGCTCCTGCGAGCGCCACTGAGCGTTTAGCCACGTTTAGTATTGGAATACATAGATGATATACACTTTATTGCTCACACACAGGAACAAAAACAGTACATAGACAGCTTACAATTAATGTGGGCAAAGGCGGCGTTATCGCTAAGAGCAATCTCTTCCAGACTACCTTTTAGATATAGGAAAACAAATTAGAGCGGGATACGTAGTGTGCCAATAGCAAAATTTGAATTGTATAGAAGTATAGAAACATCAATTAACATTATATTTTGTCAAATAATAAATAACGATACAGTGTACCTACATGTATATTAGTACATATAAATATACCTAAATAAACGTATACTTACTAATAAATAAATACAAGTTGCAGATTAGGACAGCGTCAGAAGATATCTACGCAATCCAGTTTTGAAAATGGGAAGCGACTTTGAGGGACGTATTCTATAACTCTACTCAATGCTAAAGTCAGGATTTGAGTATAGTTTAAAGCACTCGAAATCATACTCAGATCCTGACTTGAGCATTGAGTAGAGTTCTAGAATACGACCCTACATGTCGGATTTCAGACGGGAGTCCGTTCCGTAGTTGTGCAGCCTTAATCGTAAAAGAGTTTTTGATATACTCCGAGCGAGTGAAAGGTGGTTTCGATAGGTTATCCATTTTCGACTTAAGTTCGCGGTTGTGATCCTTTCCGAGGAAGCGAAAACGTTCCTTAAAGTAAGCTGGAGTAAGAGGGTCATATAAAACGTTATAGAGAACCTACTGCTCGGGCGACTTCTTTGCTTAACCAATTGCTCACACAACAGTCACGTGCCGACATATTCCATGACAGTTCAAACGAATTCTTGAAATATGATGTTTTGTTCCTCAACGATTTTTTAAGAATCCAAAGCAGAGTACCTTAGATTAGATTAGATTAGATTAGATTAATGTTTATTTGCCAAAATACAGTAAATATACAGGTCTTAAATTAAATTGGTACAATGTATTCAACCTGCAAGCAGGTGTGCAAATATATTGGAATTTATTGGTACAGGTAATTGAAGTTAATTAAAATGTCAAATATTTCTAAATCCAAAGTATTCCTTATTACTATAGCAGCAATGTGTCATAAGCCATCTTGTCAATTGTAGTTTAAAATTATGTCCGTGTAGTAATTTAATGTCACTTGGTAAATTATTAAAAATCTTAATGCACATGTTGTAGCAGTTATTTGTGTAAATTATTTTATGGCAACGAGGTTGATATAATTGATTCATAATTTTAGGCCGTGTTTGTCTTTGAAATATTTCGCCACATATTTTAAAATGTTTAGGATTAGTCTTAACAAACACACAGATGTCTCTGATATACATACAGGGGAGAGGTAAGATGTTTAGTTTTTTAAATAGGGGCTTGCATGTGTCATCTGCTTTAGCGCCACCTATGTAATATAACTGTAACTAACCATATAATTAACTATATATTCACTAGCATGTAAGTGTTTTGGCTTCCGCTGTAAACTTATATTGTGAATAAATAAATAAATAGAGAAAGCCGAGAACGTGCTCCTCACGGCACAACTTGATGGGCAGCCACTGTAGCATTCTCCTATGTTCAGACACATGATCGAACTTGCGCAATCCGCGTATGAACCTGATACAAAGATTCTGCAGACGCTGGAGTTTGCTAAGTAGATCCTCATTGAGGTCAATGACACAGACATCAGCATAATCTAGAATAGGTAAGAGCAGCGATTGCGCAAGTTCCACCTTGGTCCTCAGAGGAAGCAGATGTTTCCATCGTCGCAATAAACCTGAGGCAGCAATTACCCTCCTACTCACCTCAGCGATATGTGGCGACCAAGACAGGGTGGAGTCAAAGAAAACCAAGGCTTCTGACAACCCTTACTGAAAGACAACGGGGGCGGAGTTGAAGAGGAGCGGGGGAATAGTAGTATTATTTAAATTGGCAATCTGCTTCGAGCCACCAATGACGATAGGTTCGACTTCAATCATGTATAGCCGCGAGGTCGTCATTAAGTTCGAAGATCGAATTATCCACGTCGTATACAGGAGACTGAGAATAAATCTAAAGGTCGTCAGCGTATTGGTGATACCGACAAGAAATTAAGGGAATTTATGAAGATGGAAAAAAGAAGAGGAGAGAGGACCCCGCCCTGAGGTACACCAGCGGTAACGTCACAGAAGCTAGAATGCTTGTTATCAACACGGACACATTGCCGACGCCCAAAGAGATAGTGACGAAACCACTCCACAACCAAATCTGACACAAGGACGGATTTCAGCATTGCTAACAGGATGCCGAAGTCAACAGTGTTGAACGCGTTGCTGAAATCTAAAAGAACTAATACTGTCAGATGCTGATTCGACATACCTTTGCGAATGTCATCAGACACCTTGGTCAGAGCAGTGCTATGCCCCGAGCGGAAGCCATATTGGAAAGGACCAAGGATGTTACAGGAGTTCACGAATATTGTGATCTGGTGATGGAGAAGACGTTCGAGAACTTTGGAAAGGAAGAATAGAAATAGGACGAAAATGAGAAGGTAAAGATGGATTAGAGGTGTTAGGGATAGGTACTGCAGCAGCCTGGCGCCAGCAGCTCGGGAAGGTGCCAGTGTCGAGAAAAGTTGAAAATATGGCAAAGTACAGGAACGAGAATTGAAGAACCGTGTAAGATCATCCTTCGGTTTATTTATCTAACCCTTCTCCAGTGGATTTAACGGTCAAGATGATTTTTCAACTTCACTCTCGGACACAGGCCTGAAAGAGAAAGCCGAATATTGTAAGTCATGAGCGGAAAAAAGTGATTGCAGCGTAAATTGCTTGACATTAGAAGATAGCGAGGAAGACGTTGTGAAATGTGAGTTCAAAGAGTTTAGATCGAGACTAAAAGGAATAGGAGATTTTGACTTGCCAATACCAAGGGTATTCAAGAATGACCACACCCTAGTAGGATCATCATTAGAAACTGAGGCGTGTATGTGACGGCGCTACTCACACCCTGCTGCTACAACGGTTACGAAGTTCCTTATACTTACGGTGGGTCTCATCAGAGGGATCGTTTCTACATCGCACCTTAGCACGATTGCACTTGGACATCAATGCTTTAATTTCAGCTGTGAGCCAAGGAGCCGGAAGATGCTTCAGCCGGACAGGACGGAGTGGGGATATGTATCAAATAGCTGAACAAGCAGGGAGTTGAAAATCTCCATCTTCAGGTCCATAGATGGGGCTCTGGCAACAGCGTCCCAGTCAAAAACCACCTATATACAAGAAGCTTCCTTCGTCAAAGTTTTTAAAATTGCGCTGCATGACCACCCGAGGTAGGCTTAGGACAGTGGATTTTGTAGGAAAGGTATATAAGGTCATGGTAGGAGAAGGCTTCGGCAGGAAATTGTCCGTGGGCGTTAACAAGGTCAATAGAAGAAGCAATGGCAAGATCTAACAGAAATGGCTGGCAACCAGGCAAATGACGCGTGGAAGAAGATGGAAGAATGGTGAGATTAATAGAATCCACGATTGGGCGTAACCGAGCAGAACGAAAGTCGTTTTTAAGCAGGCAGGTGCTAAAATCACCGATAATAACAGTATGATCAACAGTGGTCACAAAATTTTCTAATAAAGCTTCAAATTTAGTAGAGTAATCAATTTGGAGATTTGGACTATAAAAAACGCTTCGAGAAGCTTCTGGTTGCCCAGAAGAACTTCTACAAAAAGATGCCCCGATGTTTCAGAATCGAGAGAAAAAGATTTATCTAAAATATTGAAAAGAAAATTACTTCTAAGGTATATAGCAACCCCACCGCCACTCCTGCCAGTCCTATTATTGCGGATGACATGGAAACCAGGAAGGGAGTAGGAAGAAAAGGAAACCAAGATTGCGTGAACACTCTGGTTGTTTGAGAAAGTGCTCACCAAATCAGTGTAATGCGCAGGAATACTTTGTGCAGTCCATATAAATATATGGACTGCATTAAAATTTTTCGCAAAAGTTGAAAAGTTACATTCTGGGAGTTCATTTAACGGTTGAGGCACTACGTACGTACGGTACGTTAACTACAATCCG